AATGCCAGAAGCTCACATAGTAGAGTTTTTGCTCACAGGACTCCGCAGCTTCGAGGGAACATTGCCCGGGAGCAGTGTTCCCTCTAAGCCGAGTCAGTGTGAGCCAGCTCACATTTTATTTTAGCCTCCGGCGCTCACAGCTTTATCTTCGCTCAGGAAGGAGGGCTCCGGAGCAGACTGGTTTACGCAGCAGCCCGATCGCTGGCTCGGAACTTTAATGCCAGGAGCTCACCGAGGAGAGTTTTTTGACCCCACGGCTTCGAGGGAGCGTGGCCCGGGAAGACTTGGCGACCCCGGGCCCTTCTGGAATGTTTTGTGTGCCGAGTTCGGGTGGGGAGAGGAACAGAGGACCCCCCCTCCCCCTTTCTCCTCCCTGCCGGTTTGCACCCTGTCTGTGACCCGGCGTCATTTCCCTGTGTGTTTCTCATAAACCGTCCTCCCGCGGGGGCCCCTCCCTTTCTGAGAAGCGCCCGGTTGCGTCACTGCAGGCAGGTGCCGGGGGAAGCGGTTAGCACTGTGGGGAACCAGATGGCTTGCCTTTGGTTAGCTCGGTGCGTAAGAGACTTCAGACGCCCGGAGAGCTTGCGAGCTTCTCTGTCGTTCTTCGGGGGGGGGGAGCAGTGCGGTGCCCCAAAATGACCTGTGGTGTTGCAGGACTCACTTCTCCCTCAACAAGCCCCACGGGGGGGGGGGGGGACACACTCTGCAATTCTCCCCTTCACACCTCCCTTCATCTCTGAATATTGAGCTAAGCACCCGGGGTGGGGGGTGGGGGAATGGGGTGTGTTGCGTAGCGGGTTCGACGCGTCGAACGACCAGGAGACAGAGTGAGATTCAGCACATGTTTACCAGTACCCAACATAACATGCAAATACCGGCCGGAGGGCCAACTATATACAGTCCCCTTGGTCCACCCACAGGTCCTATTGGAGGGTTTAAACTTCCCGCCGAGTTCCTATTGGTGACCACTAGAGGTTTCAGGATCCTACCAGGGCTCTTTTTGTAGCAGGAGCTCCTTTGCATATTAGGCGACACCCCCCCTAATGTAGCCTAGCCAATCCTCCAAGAGCTTACAGTAGCCCCTGTAAGAAGAGCTCTGTAAGCTCTTGGAGGATTGGCTACATTAGAAGGAGGAGGAGGAGGAGGAGGAGATTGGATTTATATCCCGCCCTTCACTTGGAGTCTCAGAGCGCCTTACAAACTCCTTTCCCTTCCCCTCCCCACAACAGACACCCTGTGAGGTGGGTGGGGCTGAGAGAGCTCTTGACAGAAACTGCTCTTTTTCAAGGACAGCTGTGCCAGAGCTTGTGACTGACCCAAGGTCACATCAGCAGGTGCAAGTGGAGGAGTGGAGAATCAAACCCGGTTCTCCCAGATTAGAGTCCGCACACTTAACCACTACACCAAACTGGCTTAGGGGGGGTGTCGCCTAATTTGCAAAGGAGCTCCTGCTACAAAAAGAGCCCTGCGAGTCCCTATTGCCTCTGAGAACCAAGCTCCGGTATTAGTCGCTGGCGCCTGGTGGCGGTCAGCGCACATAACAGGGTGTTTGAACAGCCCCTGCCGCAGGGCCAAGGGTGGCGTTTTTTTTTTTGTTGTTGAACTCCCCGCAAGCAGAAAAGGGGCAGAAGCAAAATTGACGCGTTTCTTGCGGAGCTAGCTGTCTGCATGCACAGAGCATCGGCAAGGCCCAGATTAGAGGGTCTAGTAGAGGCAGAGAGGGACAGAAAGATGGATGGACATGGGGTGTCTGCGAACAGAGGCAGATTTAGGCTTGCCAACATCCAGGTAGGGCCTGGAGATTTAGAATCACAGGTGATCTCCAGATCATAGAGATCAGTTCCCCTTGATGAAAATGGCTGCTTTGGAGGGTGGATATGGCCTCATGCTCCCCTGAGGTCCCTCCTCAGTTTGGGGTAGTGGTTAAGAGCGCGGACTCTAATCTGGGAGAACCGGGTTTGATTCCCCACTCTTCCACATGCAGCTGCTGGCGTGACCTTGGGTAATCACAAGTTCCTTCAGAGCTGTTCTCTCAAGGGCAGTCCTTGGGAGAGAGCTCTCCGCCCCACCTACCTCACAGGGTGCCTGTTGTGGGGAGGGGAAGGGGAAGGAGCTTGTGAGCCGCTCTGAGACGCCTTCGGGTAGTGAAGGACGGGGTATGAATCCAACCTCCTCTTCTCTTCCTCTCTAAATCCTCTCCACCCCCAAACCAACCAAGCAAAAACCTCCAAAGAAAGTTTAGAAAACTAGTAGAGGGCCAAAGGTGAAAAACATAAATAGGCAGGGCTATTTTTGGGCAGGAAGGCACAGGAATGGAGTTCCGGCTGGCTTCAGAGTTGGCCACGCCCACTACACCCAAGCCAAGGGAAGGCAGTTTAAACTGCTCTTTTCCAAGGACAGCTCTTATCAGAACTACGGCTTGCCCAAGGTCATCCAGCCAGGGGCAAGTGGAGGAGTGGGGAATCCAACCCGGTTCTCCCAGATTAGAGTCCGCGCACTTAACCACGACACCAAACTGGCTGAGGGGAGGATCAAAACCTACAAGAGAGAGAGAGAGGGACTGTGTTTCGCATTCACAACCGGCGTTGTGGCTCTGTCCACCCTGTAACGGATCCTCGTTGCTGGGACCTGAACTTGCTGGGCTATTTTTAGGCCCTTTTTTAAACAACCAAAGAGAACATAAATCAGGTTTTGTTTGCCAAGAGAAAGCCGGAGCGTCTGACGAGAAAGCCGAACCAGTTTAAAGAACGTCTTTTGTTTCCGTCGCGTCATTTTTCTCTTGGTTAATGGAGGGCGTGGGGGGGGGGGAAGCCAGGGGAAGAACCGTCGGGCCGGGCCTTGCCTTCTGAGGTAATACCAGGCCCGCAGCTTTCCAAACAGGTCCATGAGCTTTTAAAAATATAAATGTATCAGTTGTGATCAGGGCTCTAGTCGGGGGGGAGCTCTCAGGTACGGAGCTCCGGAAGAGAACCTCTAGGGGGCGGGGCGGTCACGTGGTGAAGCCCCGCCCCCTTCTTTACCCCGCCCTCTGCTTCGATCCTCATTCCGTTTGGGAATGAGGATGAAGCAGGAGGGTAAGTAGCCGGGCCTTCTGACACACTTCCGGTGATGTCAGGGGGTGTGGCCTTCTGTCACTTCCGGTGATGTCAGGGGGCGTGGCATATGCAAATAAGTTATGCTAATGAGTTATGCTAATGAGCTCCGGCAGCTCTTTTTCTACAACAAGACCCCTGGTTGTGATTGAGAGAAGGCAGTCGATTTCCTCAGGACGCCGCGCCGGGTTCAAAGTTGTCTGTGCTTGTCCGCCTGCTGCGATTGTGAAACAGGAGATTCCACAAAGTGCTGTGGGAAGAATAAAAGGAAAAGGGGAGAGCTATGAATGAGTCGGGCGGGGTGGGGTGGGTAAAAATATGCAGGCCGGAAGCTAGGGTCGTCAACCTCCAGGTGGCTGAGAAGACGCAAACAACCGTGATGTATTATGCCAGAAAAAAAGTCTCCAAAGTCTAGAAATTTCTTTCCCCAATATTCAGTTTACTGGAAGCAATTCAAACGCCATCAACACCAACAAACCATGCATATTACATCTCGTTTCGTGGATAACTTAGTGGGTAGCGTTGAAATAGTAAAAGGTAAAGGTTCCCTTGCTCGAAAGCCAGTCGAATCCGACTCTAGGGTTGCGGTGCTCATCTCCGTTTCCAAGCCAAAGAGCCAGCGCTGTCCGAAGGCGTTTCCGTGGTCATGTGGCCGGCAGGACTAAACACCGAGGCGCACGGAACGCTGTTCCCTTCCCACCGAAGTGGTCCCTATTTATCTACTTGCAATTCCTTGCTTTCGAACTGCTAGGTTGGCAGGAGCTGGAACTAGACACGGGAGCTCACTCCGTCATGCGGCACCCGGGTCTCGAACTGCTGAACTACCGACCTTCCACAGCCTGCAGTTCAGCGTCTTAACCACTTGAGCCACCGCAGCTCATTGAAGTACCTATATTTAATTACAAAAATATAATTAATGTTAATCCATTTGGCAAACTCTCTAGTCGTATCTCATATTTTCGGGGTATGCATGAACCCATGAACCTGTCTCATATCAAATCAGACCCTCGGTCCATCAAAGTCAGTATTGCCTACTCAGACTGGCAGTTGGCTCCCCAAGGTCTCAGGCAAAGGTCTTTCACATCCCCTCCTGCTAGATCTTTTTTAACTGGAGATGCCGGGGGTTGAACCTGGGACCTTCTGCATGCCAGGCAGAGGCTCTGCCACTGAGCCACAGCCTTTGAGAGTCAGAGCTCCTGTTGTCAAATGTGTGTGTGTTAGGCAGGGGTCATTCCGTAGAAAAAGAGGTGCAGGAGCTCATTAGCATAACTTATTTGCATAACTTATTTGCATATGCCACACCCCCGGACATCACTGGAAGTGTGTCAGAAGGCAACCCCCACCGCTCAGGCTCCCCTGCACTGTTTTGGATTGCTAGCTACTGGGGGGGGGGGAAACGTGCAGATCTGCCCTTGCAGAGGAGGGAGAGCTTGTACCTGAATAAAACTTGGTCTTAAAGGTACCACTGGACTGTTTTGGGCCGGGGGGGGGGCTCTGCAACTTACCTGGCTGCTTCTTGCTCTGACTGAGGGCTGCTGGGAGCAGGGGGTGGGGCTTGTTGCATGTGCCCGCCCCCTGGGCTCTTTACTGCCGGAGCGCCACTCCTGTGCGATCCATGGTTATCCGTACAACTCTCCTCCAATACCGCCTTTTAGATGAAATCTTCAGCTAGGAAGGGTGAAAGTTCAGTCCTTGGAGGAAACCAAGAGGGCGAACTGAGTTTCGTGCTGGATGTGCCGGGCCACAGTTCCTCGAAATGTTCGCAGAGAAGTGAGTTCGAAGGGATTTGCTCAACGCGTGTCGGCTTGCGGCCCGTCGCAGAGGAAACCCGGGATCCCTGGCGATGGTCCTTCTAGGCCTCAACTCTCTGTGGTCGGTATTCACACTTCCTTTTTCTCGCTTTCCAAGACTCCTTTGCACTTGGCAGTCATCACCGGACAGCCAGCCCTGGTGAAACTGCTGCTCTCTCACGGGGCCTCGCCGATGGTCCTCGACCGCAACGGACAGACCGCTCTGCATCTGGCCTGCGAGCACGGTAGCCTCCGTTGCCTGCAGGAGATGCTCGAAGGACGTCCCTCCCCGCTGGATCTGGAGGCACGCAATTTCGAGGGTGAGTGCGCATGGCGGATTGGAGAAAATGGACCGGCATCCCTCTCTCTTCACTGTTTCTGTGCAGCACCAGCGATGTATATATTGAGCTTTGTGGCATGAGCAAGAGAGGCGGGGGACAGGTCTCTGCCTGCAAGGAGCTTACAGAGACATTTTTTAAAAAGTTTCCATTTAAAGTGACATTTTTAAAACATCTCCAGTGGCCAATCAGAAGCATTGGTGGGCAAAAGCCCCCCCCCAGCTCTGCCTATTTGACGGGCACCAGAAAGGGGTTGGTGGGTGCGATGATGCCTGTGGGCACTGCATTGGGGGCCTGTGGGTTAGAGTATTGGACTAGGAACTGGGAGACCCAGGTTCGAATCCCCACTCTGTTGTTGAAGCTTGCTGGGTGACCTTGGGCCAGATAAAATGGAGGAGGGGAGGCCATGTTGTAAGATGATGCGGGTCTCCACTGGGGAGAAAGGGGGATAGGCAGGGCTATTTTGGGGCAGGAACGCACAGGAACGGAGTTCCGGCTGGCTCCCAAGTTGGCCACGCCCACCAGGAACTCATTAGCATAATAGGCCACTCCCAACAGCAGGAACTCATGAGGATTGGCTACATTAGGGGTGTGTGGCCTAACATGCAAAGACGTTCCTGCTCAGGGGTCATTTCGTAGAAAAAGAGCTAGGGGAACTCATTAGCATAACTCATTAGCATATGCCACACCCCCTGACATCACCGGAAGTGTGTCATAAGGCCACACCCCCTGACATCACCAGAAGTGTGTCATAAGGCCACACACCCCGCCCCCAACGGTCCCGGCAGCCACCGCAGGCCTTGCAGCTCCACTGCCGAGCCCCATGAGGGGCCC